GTGTGTGTGTGTGTGTGTGTGTGTGTGTGTGTGTGTGTGTGTGTGTGTGTGTGTGTTATATAAATCCTGGCGTGCCTGTCAGTGGGTGTGTTTGTGAATCAAGTGATGGGACACATCACAGCCAACTTCTTGTTTCATGCCGTGTACACATGCACACGCACACACTTCCCTGCTTATGGAAGAACAAGTATGACATTACATACACAACTGTCTATCTGATCAGCAGGGTCAAGCAGAGCTCTGTAGCCTAAATAACAATCTGCCCACTCAGAGTGGCGCCACTGACTAAAACTGTGCGCGTGATACATTTGCTGAAATTGTCATTTCAGGGCATCTCAGACATCACTGTGCTAATTTTTACATGTTTTTCATTGATTTCACCTCTACTACCTCAGTGCTCGATCCCTGCTCTGTCTCACTAATGCACGTATAGAATACACAGACATACTCTTTGTTAACAGCATTGCTAACATTCTTCTTCCCTGTTTTGACTCTTGCGGCTCGACACCCGCCTCCTCCAAGGTCAGTGCGGGACAGGAGTCGAGGAGTGCGTGATGTTCTAACCTTGTTGTGCTTTTCCTCTCTCTGGCTCTACAGCTCCCACCTCTCCCCTATATCCATCCTGCCTGCTGACTCTGCTGAGTAAGTCTCCACATATTCACACACACTCTCAATGGCATACTTAGACATAAACTCACGCTAACATACGCATTATATCACAACAACTTATCATAAACATCATAAGCTGTAATAAAATATGTACTCAATAATTCTTAATATTATATCCTGCAAAGGCATTTCATGTTAGAATATAATATTAATGAAACTGCAAATAATCAATAAGAGAAAGACAGAGCCATATTATATGTTATGAGGCAGTCAAATAGCGTTTTCTCAAGAGGCGAATAAAATAATAGAAATCGAGATTGATGTGCAGCCGCTGCTGAGACAAGTGAGTTTTAAAAACTGTACAAGGTTTAGAGGAAGAGACGAGCAGGAAGGAGGAGAGCCGGCCTTGTGTTTTGATTAGGAAGCTAAAGTAAAGCGTTTTGCATGGCGTGGCACTTTGACGGTCTCAAGGACACGAACTGCAATCACATGACAGTCAGGCCGTCTCTTTGACGCTGCTCAGCATGGACGCAGAATACAATTATTTCTCTTTGTACAGCGCTTTAATGTGGGTTCACTTATTAGACTTAAACAATGAGGAATTAAACATAAAAGCTGGAATTCACGACCAGCAGTCAAAGGAGTTTAAATTGTCACATGTTCAGCTGCCCACCAATTTGACAGAAAATAGTAAAGATGGTTTTAAAAGAAGAAGAAACACATGATGATGGAGATGGGGAGACAGTTTTTTGCTGTGCAGATTTTAAAAAAGCAGTTTAATCTATTTTCATAACGCACATGCCAATAAAAAAGTTTCCCTTAAATTTAAAAAGAGGGACCCTGCAGGTCCCACCGAGTTTCCCTGTTGGGAGGTAAAAATTTGGACGCTGTGTGAGTGTAAGTGCTTCTTTCTGTGTCTATGTAAGTAGGAAAGAGTGCAAGTGCATCATCTTTTACTGCTTATGTGTTTATTTCTGGAAGTGGCTGTTTGTGTGTGATGTGCAGTGTAGTTATTATTGTAGAGCTTCCTGGAGATGGAGGCGAAGTTTGAGTGTATGTGTTCATATATTGACACCTACATTTCATTTATCTCAGCTCAGTAGCTTTATGAGTTTCTGCCTTAAATGGACATAGCAGAAAATCCCCTACAGCTATTTTTCCAGCATCAAGTACTCGATGTGTTAAATTCATGCGTATCTACAGTACCTGGGACAACTTGGTGTCACTGTCTGGACATTTACTTTGAGGATCAGCTTAAGGAGCAGATGTTATATGATAGAAAAATAGAGGAAAAGTTGGAATAACACGTGATGAAAGCAGATGAAGTGAGTGAACAGTTGGTATGGGGGAGTTGGGTCTTTTCCCATTCAACTTAGGCTCTGCCGCCGTCTAAGCTGGAACAGTGACAAAACTCACAGACTGCATGAAGCCAGAGTAAATGAGGGAGGAATACATTATGATCAAACAAACATGGTCCAGTAATTGAAGCCAGATAGATGGAATCTCAGTAGAGCCGGTGGATCAGGCGTTGCATGTCGGTGCAGAAAAGGTCAGCGTGTGACTGCCGATGTTACCTTTTATAGGCTCTAACATCCCCTCTTTTCTTCTCCCTGACTCCATATTAATCCTTTTAGACCAGGGCCGCACCATTGGCTTAATAAGGACTTGTTAAATAGCTCAGAAGGGGAAAGAAAGCACTGAGTGAAAATGATGAATATTATTCACTCTTAAACTTCAATAAATGTCTCTTATATGTACCTAATTACTATATAAAGATGAACATATAAATGCCATTTATCTGTTAATTGATCAGCAGAGGTTCCAGACACAGAGGTAGTGCTAAAAACAAACATCTTAATTAAATCTGGAAAAACAGCCCTCTAACCTCGTCAGTGTAACTGAACTAAGGATGTCATGTTGATGGCAACAGTTTTAGGCATTATGTGAGCGTTTTTAAAGCATGTATACTAATCACTAAAAAAAACATGTTTAACTGAAGGATTACAAAAACAGTGATGGTAGTGCTGTAATGTTGGGTAGTTGTTACTCTGCAAATCAGTTTTTATCTTTTTAGGTTTTTGATACATCGTGTCCTACTGCAGTTCAGAAATAAATAAGCCTAAATAGTGCGCATGATTCTGGCAGGTGGAACTTATCGGTCTCCAGCTTTGACTATTTGCAACATGGCTGAAGTATTTTCGTTTTGGTTATCAAAACAGTTGTTGACGTCACAGACTTTTTCTCTGCTCGATAGAAGTCAGAGAAACATGCCCAGCATCTTGGGTGTTTGGATTATTGCTGTGGCTCGCTTTATGTGGATACTTCAGGTGGATAATGTTATTTTCAGGTTATCTATTTTTGTTTTTCTGTGGAGTTGTTGCACTGAATGAACAGGAAAAAAACATGGTCACTGGATCTCATGCAAATTAGTTATGTAAACCTTGGAAACTCGGCTTATCCTCTTTAAAGGTAGTCTGAACTCTTTGGACAGTGGTTAGTGTTAAACATCATTTTAACTTGTATTTCTGCTTTGTTTCCCAGTATTATTCAGCGGACCATCAGGGCTGCAGTGGAGCAGCACTTCTTTGATCTGAAAAACTCCATCGACCAAGACCTCAGCAGGTACGACAGCCAGGGGTGAGAGTGCAACACAGGCAGCCCTGAAACCACAAAGTTTCTATGCACGCATGAATTAAATGTCTGTTGCACTTTGTAGTTGCACCTGTTGGTACAAACATGATTGCTCAGTGTTTTAAAGTGGCATCAGATGACTCTACAGAAGCATTTCCAAGATAGCAAATCTCATGCACAAAGGCACAAAGCCAGCCAGATGGTTCACGTTACAGATAAACACGTTTAGAGGTTACTTTAGCATTATGCTACTTTGCATAGCATTCCCCTGGATACAAATTATGAATTTATATTTAAATAATAAGGGTACTTTCATTGCTTTATTAATCTTTCCATTGTGATATGTTAGGGAGAGTCCCAGTGAGCCTGCAGACCAGGGCTGTGATGGAGACGAGGAGCAACAAACTGACCCTGAAGACAGTGCCTGCGACACAGAAGGGGGTACCCCGCTCACACAGCCTGAGCAGCACATCCAACAAAATCAGCGAGAAGCGCAGGTCAGTGGGGGGACGTCATGACGTGATAACCAGAAAGGGAATCTTTGTTTTAGTTGCGCTCGCTGCCTGTTACTGTAACATTGGCAGAACAGCAGCTCCCCTGTGTTCAAACAGAAAGTGACATCAGATGATAAGACAAAAGAAAATCGTAGCAAGCTGCTGTGTGGGCTCAGAGCATGCTTCCCATAGCTAACCTCCTTCCCATCTCAGTGTGTCGCTTCATTCCAAGGCGAAATGTGTTTGATATTATCAGCACAGGCCCATCTTTGTTCTGCTCTGATCGCTACAATAGCTGGAAATTTACTGGGAAAGCGAGAAACAAGAGGGTTGTTTAACAAATGCAAACACGCAGACACATTTAGTCATAACTAAATGTTAATAAGGTCATTTTGTACTTGGAAAAAGTGCTGAGTAGCTTCTTTCTCAAGGTTTGGCGAACGCATTTGCCACTTTTTATACCTATCATATGCCAGGATGCTATATTAAAAAACAAGGAGCTACTTTCAAGGGCTTTGGAAATTCTTGATCTTGCTTTCTTCACATTTTGGTAAGAATAGATAAGAACTGATAAAATTATTATCCAGATGATGATGCTTTGAGATGCATTATCTGTTTAACACATTCTGAAGAGTAGTAATGTTTCTCTTTATTTTCAATATCTAGTTTTAGGCAGACATACACGGCACATATTCTTTGTATTCCTGTGCACATCACATACATTTTTATTGAAGCTGTCTCATTGGAAATCAAAACCCTGTTACTAGTGCCCCCCATTCAGCCTTACTGGCTTTTATCCCAAGAACCATGTTAGCTTCCAGATGGAGGGGTGAGGAGGAGACAACATGGTAGGCAGGGAGATGAGACCCACGGCTGGAGGAGAAGTTGTCACAGAAACAATAATCTTGATCCAAGTCCTTAAATAGATCAGCCAAGAGCCAAAGAATGACAGCTGCTCCACTGTACTACATCATCACAGACATGCATGTATTTACACTGGTTTTATGTTTAAAAAGTTATATAGTTGTGCCATGTGCTATTAACAATGAGTTCAATATGTGTATGTCCACATAACATGCACGCTGTGAAATGTCTTCTCATTTATGATGAGGACTTTTGTGTTCCTACAGAGTCGTCTGTATAGGTTCTCAGTCATTCAGGTGATGCTAGTCTTAGGAACTTGAGGGGGGGAAACAGAAGGCATCTGGACGTCTTTAAGCTTGTGAAGACATTCTCATCCAAAACTCCCAAACTCTCTTTCAACGATGCCAATGTGCACATTCTGGACTGAAAAGACAGATGGCTTGAAAGAGGGAGTAAATGAAAAAAATCTATGAACAGAAGTGGTAGCTTTTTCTTCCTTTTCCTGTAGCGCCTACTCAGCTTGACTTGACTCTACTTGGTTTCAGTCATTTTCCATTACAATTGATTACCAACTTATGTGCATGAGGTTGTTATAGCAACGTCCTGTGACATCTTCTGTATCTGACACAAAAATACATGTCGCTCTCATGACTCATCGAGTGATGCCACTGACTAGCCAATCGGTGGCATGCGGTCTGTTAATGTCACGTTTTCGCCTCAGACTGCTCGGAAGCTGAGTACGTACTAAAGAAGTGGTACCCGTTATTACCAGCTAGTGGGAAAACCCTAAAAAACGTATTTAGCTGAGCCAAAAGCCAACCTGCCTTGAGAACCCTTCCCAGGTTTTTCAAATCTCACTCACAACTTACCTCAGATGTGAGTCAGTAGGTCACATGATAGGGTGGGGCAAGGTTTCACAGTAGTTTCACCCTTAACTTCCCTGATGGTATTAAGCCACACCTTTTTTCCCACCTTGGCTCGTGACAATGCACATGACGTGATTAATACTGGGTCAACGACTCTCCAAACCACCTCCAAAGAGAACAACCCCCATGTTAAATACGTGGGACTCTCCACCTTTTGTTTTCAGGACTGAAAAGCCTCACAAACTTCAAGAAGTCCAGTAACTTTTTCAAGGTTTACAGAGTTGTTGAAGATGAGCAGAGGCATTTTTAACCTCTAATTTTTAAGGAGCATTAAATTCTTAACTATTTAAGGTGAAAGAGCTTTATTTAATGCATTTATGATTACCTCACTGTATTCTGGGTATTTTGTGAACATTTGATCTGTTGGAGTGCTACATCTCTGTGTTGTCTCATTAACTGAGGAAGTGAAGCATTACAGTGTTTTACTTATTTCTGTTAGACTCCAGTGTGTAGCTCAGTTTGTGTTCTTGCCCATTCCTGTCTCTTGCTCTGCTTATTCCTGTTTAAGTTAAACAGAACATCTTGCTGTCCTGTCTTTTTTCCTCCAGAATTCACTGGACTCTGTCCCCACCCTGGAGGAGAGCTCAGGAATGGACCTGGATGCAGAGTCTGTCACCGATGCAAAGAACAACTTAAACACTGCCAGGTGAGCTGTTTACTTCACAAACACCAGCTGCCTGGATTTACCCTCAGAGTTTAGTTTCGATGCAAAGCAAACGAGAGGCAGCAGTGTTGCCGTGCTGATCAGACACTTGCCTTCTGCAAATTGCTTTGACACGCTGTTTCAACCAGAGCTCACATTTTATGCTGCATCTGAAACGCATCTTTATCTCAGTCTCTCTCACTCCCAACACTTATTCACTTTTGCTTCCTTCTTGTGTATCTTTACATGTCATATGATGATATTACACCCCCAGCTTGTTGTTAACAGCTGTAGTGAGTACACCGCCATCAATGTGGCATGCAGTGTTAAAACTGACAAATGCTGTTTCACTCCTATTTATTTAAAACAGGCAAAATACTGACTACACAAAGCACTGATTTTGGTTACAGCTTTGAGTTTTTTCCTCGTCGAATTATTCGTGCAGCGGAAAGATTTCTTTGTTGTGTGACTGTGGTGTGACTCTTCGTCAGCTGTTATCCAGGCAAGGTTTCAGGAAGACTAAATATGGTGAGAGTGATATGATTGGACAGCTTTTATAAAAGTACACTTATCCAGATGAGTCTGTACAGGGCTACCATATTAGTACTTCTTGTTATTGGACCAAAGAGTACTGAAAACGTACATCCCCTGGTGGAGTGTTAATGTGTTTATCTCCTTTATGGTTTCATTTTGAGTGTTTATCTAATTTCATTTCATTCTAATCTTCATTTTCAGGCAGGACAATCAGCCTCTTGTGACGATGGAGCACACTGTCACCATAAGCTGTGTAAGTGACAGGATGTGGAAATGTACACCTTTCATAGACTGTATATAAACAATGGCTACAGCCATGGTTATGTCATCCACTGGCTTGGACCTTCACAGTAAAGCTTTTAAGTATCTGTTAAGGCCTTAATTACACGGGCCTGCAGAGCAGTCAGTGACCCCATGGAAACCAGCAGATGCTGGGGGAAAATGTTTATTCCCTGATTTGTTGGCAAGTGGTTGCTGGAAGTTGCTAGGTGAAATTGGTCACGAAGGTGCTGGTCTGAAAAACACCTTAGGCCAACATTCCTTCAAACACTTGCAAATTTACCTTCAGTTATTTGGTCCATCATTTTCCTTATTTCTTTTATCTCTTATTGATTTTTTTTACTCTTCCAGGACTCCAGTTCATGTTGCTGTGATCACAACGCCAACACCAGCCAGCCCAACAGGAACCACCTCTCACCATGCCAACCAGACTCCTCCCACCTTCAGCTTTTTCCCAACAACCAATGGGAAGGTGAGTTCCATCATATCCTGGGAATTCCAGCTTGCTCAGTGCAGCATAAATATTCACAGAAAATTAAAGTGGCATTGGAGAAGTTATGCAGAGGGACAGACTTTTAAAACTTTAAATTAATTTATTTTATCTAATAAAAGTGACATAATGGGAAAAGTTAATTTCATTTAGATTGTTGTATGAATTACTCTTACTTAAATATAAAAATTATGGAATATTTTTACTCTAAGCTTAAATATGTCGCTGAGATCTCAATTCAAACCTGCTCAGTTTGAAATATTCTCTCATATAAGTGATGAAAAACTGACGTTGGTGGCATTTGTTTGCAATTAAACACAACACACATTGGATGAATGCTGGTGAGTGAAGTTATGAATGACCTCACTGCTCCTCTTCTGTGCTATCTCTCTCCCTGTCCCTCTTCCTCCTCGTCCTTCTACTTCTCCTCCGTCCATCCAAACAGCGTCACCCCCCTCCCATCTCCACCTCCCTCCCATCGACTTCTCATTGATGCATCTGCAAAAGGAAGGCCAAGGTAAGTCATTTCATAAGCGCCCATTCACCAGTCTACCCCTCCCTCCTTTCACTCGTCCTTGTTATTGTTTTTAATGGTGGTCACGGGTGACAACAATAAAAGAAACTATATTAAAATATAATTAAAATAGCCTCGGCTTTTCAAATGTGCGCGTGGTGACGCTGATCGTGATAAATCCCTCCCTGTAACATTCTTCCCTCCATCAGATTTCATGAGATAGCAGGCGAACTTGTTTTTTCTTTCTTCACTCTTCCCTCTTACTTTTTTAATTTACACTTTGATTCTGCTGCTCTTATTGGTCACGACCCCTCCTACACTCTCTCTTCCTCCTCGATTCAACTTGGCAGCATAGCACTGACTGTAAATACACCGGTAATCAGGCTTAGCGTGAGTCAGCAGGTATGGAAGTAAACAAAATAAAATGTTGCTGTACATATCTGTCCATCATGATATGTATAACACCTCTCTCTCTCTCATGCACTTGCTAGAGAGGGATTAATCGTCTGGCCTCTCCCTTCCTTCTTGTCCTCTTTATACTTGGCTTGATTCCTCTCTTTATTTCTTTCCGTCTTCTCCAGACCCCGTCCCAGCTTTTAAATCCTGGCAGGATGACAACGAGAGCGGAGAGGCACAGCTCTCCCCGCTGGCCGGTCGCATGGTTCCTCTCCCTCCGCTCCCCCTGGAGGAGGGTGGTGAAGAGGAACAGGGAGAGGGAGGGCAGGATGACTCCCCTTCCTCTTCCCGCTCACACCCTCACCTGCTGGCACGGCGCTTTCTTGATTTTGGTGTGCACGGTGCCCAGAGATTCCTCCAGCAGGATCTGGACGCCACTTCACCCACCAAAGTACATAGGTATGATGTGTAGCTTATTCACTGTAAGACTGGTGTTTTTGGGGGGGTTTAATGGTTATAATGACACCCACAAATCGTTATCTTTGGTCTGAGACCTGAAGGGTTTTTTTGGGTTGTTTTTCTTTTTTGGTAGTTCTGTCATGCTGGGGGGGTCGCTGTGGCTCAGGGGCTAGAGTGTGTGTGAAAGTGGCTTGTAGTAAAAAGCCCTTTAAGGGCTGAGCTGGAGTCAAAAAGAGCCATCAAGTACCAGTCTACTATTTATCCTCAGGCCCAGGCGAGCATCGTTTGGTTCCAAAGAGGCGATGAGAGGAGGAGATTCGGTGATGCACCAGCTCACCAAAAAGCTTCAGCATCTGAAGAAGAAAATCAAACAGTTCGAAGAGCAGTTTGAGAAGGAGAGAAACTACAAGGTAAAATCAGAACTTTAAGGGTTTTTTAGGTAGTAATTTAAAAAAAAAGAAGAAGAAAAAACTGCAGGAGCCAGTCAGTTATTGCTTTCTTCAGGCTGTTATAGCAAACAGTCATCTTCCTCTGCATCAGAAACACCAACACATTGTTTAATTGCTTACACTGTCACACATTCTGAAAATGTAATTTTGTATTTGTGTCTTAGCTGTTGTTGATGTTTTCGGTGAAATGCCAACTCTTGGTCTCTGTGTGTCCCCCCTCTTCTCCCTGCAGCCTTCTCATGCAGATAAGGCAGCTAACCCCAAGGTCCTCAAATGGATGACTGACTTGACCAAGATCCGCAGGCAGATTAAAGGTACAACTACGTTTTGCTGTCGGCATGCATTCATGTGTGCTTGACGGGGTTAGTGTCTGTATGCCATCCTGTTCTGTGCTGGACATTTTGACCCCACTTTCAACCTTTGACCTTTTGTGACAACATGGCATGTATGCTGGTCTGACAGACATACGCAGACATGCACGTGCTCAGGGTCAACGTGGCTCTCACATGCGTGGCTCCCACCCTACAGTGTGCTGGTGCGTCCTTGTGAACCCACATTCATTACCTGCAGGGTGAGTTCAGTCAGGTGAAGCAGCGGAAAACACACAAAGGAAGTATTTGAAAATATTTGGTCAGAAATCCCAAACTGTGGTTGCAGAAGCTTTTGGTTTGGCTGCCAGTCAGCATGTCCAAAGTCAGATGTTAAAATATAAAATGTATAGAAATTCTTTTCTGCCGGCGGATGTTTCTCCTCCCGTTGTTTCACCACACTGAACGAACCCTGCAGGACGCCCGTCCACCTCCTTCCTGTGAGGTGCCGGCTCTCCTTTATGGAGTAACGCAGCGGCCAAAACATTTGTCACTGTTTCAAATCAAAACTGAAATCAATAATGTGAGAATCCGCTCTTCACTTTCCTCCTTCCTCCTACTGCCCAACGACCCATTGATTGATTGATTGACTGATCGGCCAACCAGGACGCCAGCACCACCTTTTGCCCAGAAGCACGTTGAGGCACCAGGCTTTGATCCATTCACACAGATGCCACCATGCTCCCTCCTCCCCTTCCTCCTCCTCCTCCTCCTCTATCTGCTCACCTCCCCATCACATACTCACCCCCCCGCTCCACCCCTACTCAGGCCTACTCAGCTCTAGACCGTTTCACCTCAGTAAGTACAAACCCCTCAGTAAGTAGACATCTCAAACACTACTGACAGTCACAGCGAGGCGGCTTTGTGAGAGCATCTTGCTTCCTTGTTTCGGTGCCTGCTGAAACAGCTTGTTGGCATGGGATAATTAATGGAGAGGTGGTGAGAAGTGTGAAGCATCATGATGAAATTACACATTTATGGTTCTGATTTCAAAATACAAAACAAGCTCTCTTTTTTGCCAGACGTTTTGGGTCTCTGACATGTTAAAAATGTTGGCAAACTGCAAAAAAACATGTCTAACTGCTGGTATCAGTTCTTTAAACAAGAATGCTGCGGTGCTGAAGGTGCAGAAGTGTTTCACCTTTACAGCCATCAGGGCCTTTTGAATTTAGTGATTTTACTGTCTGGCAGTGTTACAAAAAATAGTCTGGAAAAAGTTTGCTCTCTGTCTTTGGCTTTGTATGTTGTGTGGTGGTGTGTTTGTGTGTTGTCACACTGTCTTCTTTCTCCTTGTTTCTGATGGGTTAATTGTAATCGTGACGGATAAATTCCTGCATGCCTTAACTGACTTTCTCTGTTTTCTACGTCTCTCTCTATCCCTGCCCTTATTTCTTTCCTCTCTCCTCAACCTCATGTGTTCATCCTTCCCCAGATGCCAAACACCGTGCAGAGACCGAGCTCGGCCCTCAGACTCGGCCCCGCAGCAACACCTTGCCCAAGAGCTTTGGATCCACACTGGATCACAGTGCTCATGACGCAGCAGGGGAGCTCAAAGGCCCGCGGCCTACAAGGGAGGAAACACTGGAGCTGATCCAATGCAGAGTCAAAGACAAGAGGGAGGAGGACGGCTGGCCGGATGATATCAAGGTAAGGACCAGATATTTTCCAGCAGAGCCACTGCACTTATTCAGGGCTCCAGCAACAGGACAAATAAAAAGGATGTGGATCAGATATATAGTTGTCAAGATGGGGAAAAAGAACAGAATATAACCTATAGAGTTTTTTGGGGTTTATGAAATCCTTTAGAAAAGGTCTGGTGTAGGTTTACATACCTAGCAGAACTAAACATGTCCAGTTTTATTGACAAAAACGTTATTTTTACATTTCAATTCATGCTTTTAAGTTCTACAGGAAGAGAAGAAATCTTTTTGATGGACATGCACAACATTTATATTGACTACAACTTACAGACTGCTGGTATATTGTTTGACTATAACTTTAAGGGTCATTTAAGTGGTTTGATTGTGAACTTCTCCCATCACCAGTTTAAATACTAGTTAGTTAAATGTATTACTTTTGTTTTATTAACATACAATGGCAGTTACCTGCTGGTTCAGAGGTGTTGCAAGGCCATCAGCCACTAACAGGGCTCTGCACTGCGACAGGAAGTTCCAAGCAAGTAAACAAGCAAGATGGAAAGTAAGCAGCAAGATTCTGCAGCACTTTGATGCAGAAAATTAGCAAATGTATGAAAGCTGTTTCAGAATAAACTGACCCACAAGCGCGCGACAGCTCACCTCAGCTCGGTGATGTGCAAGCACATTGTGCTCGGGCATGTGGACGCTGGCCTGTGCTCTGATTGTGAGGCCCTCAGCAATAAATTCTTATGTTTTTAACTACACGTACATTATTTCTGCGTGTCTGTGTTTTAAACTAGTCGATTTTTTTCCCCCCTTCCTCACATTTAATGACTAGTAATGTTAAAACCAGGAAAGACACTGTTGAGTGTTAAATATGTGCATCTCTGTAGAAGATGACAAAAGAGCAATTAACCTGTGAGAAGACTGTCCTGCAGAAGAATCTGCTGCACTACGAAGGGCTGCACGGTCGACCGGTACGTTCAAAAACCTAAATTCTGCAAAGATTTGTCTTTGCCTTAAAAAGCAAAAAAGAAACCCGTTCTAACCAGGTCTGTCGCTTCTCCTGTCCTTCTAGGTGACCAGAGAGGAGCGGCTGGTAGTGAAACCTCTGTACGACCGCTACAGGCTGGTCAAACAGATGCTCACCAGAGTCAGCATTACACCTGTTGCAGTAAGTTCACAATCTCCACCAGAGACACAAAGTTAGCAGCACTCATGGAGCAGACAACGGATCAACTGCATCTACCTTCCTTTCCCTCCTCTAGGTATCTCCATCTAGTAAGAGGCGGAGTAAAACCCTGCAGCCAATCATTGAGGGTGAAACTTCTCACTTTTGGGAGGAAATTAAAGAGGAAGAGGAGGAGGAGGAGCAAGAGCAGAAAAGTGGAGGAGAAGAGGAGAGGGATGAGGAGGAAGAAGAAGAGGAGGAGGAGGAGGAAGAGGGAGAGAGCAGCGGTGGTGAGATGCAGAGCCCCGAAGTTATCATGGCCATCGACCCAATGACCTCGAGTGACGGGCCCGTGAGCAGCCAGAACCAGTCTGACCGACAGAGCGACTGTTCAATGAGAGAAAAGATGGAGGAGGGATCGGGGAGGCTGGCGCTCGACCTGCGTCTGTCCAGCTCGAACGCCTCATCCATGTGAGAGCAAAACACACGCAGACGCATTCATGCGACATTAGGGCCTAAAAACTGATGTGTTGTTACGCTGAAATTTTGCTCAGCTGTTTATCATTTTAGAAATACTGAATTTGAATACATATTTGTTGCAAATGTAAAGGTCTACAGTTGTTCCTCTCAGTGTAGCTGCAAGTTCACTGAGCCTCTGCCTTCATCTCAAAGACAGGAGAAGTGTAGCCTGCTGTGTTCATTACTAAACCCTGGAGAGGAAATGTTCACGTATCCTTCTGCTTTGCAAACTGTGCAGATACAAGCAGGAAGTGTGACACAGTTTTCACACAGGTTTCAGCAGCTGAGGTGTAATCTGTTTAACGTGTCACAGGATAATGCCTGGCATTAACATACATAGACTCACACCTCTGATCAGCTCAGGTTCCTGAGTCCAACTGTGATGTGTTTCTTATAGGTTGTGACTCCTGTTTAGGTCACTTCCTGCTCACACTGATCACCTTCTCTCTCTGAATTCAAGTTTTAATTTCTGGTTTATAAGCCAAGTGATTATTAGTGTTAAAGAGAGCAAATGTTGCTGAGAATAAAGCTGTTCTGATGTCTCCACACCACTGTAGTGTTACGTGTGGTTACAGCATCCTCTTCTATCCTATCATCCTCCAGGCCAGAGCTGCTGGAACAGCTGTGGAAGGCCAGAGCAGAGAAGAAGAAACTGAGGAAGACCATCAGAGAGTTTGAAGAAGATTTCTATCAGCATAATGGAAGGTAGGTGGGACGCGCGTTTATTTAAGGAATGAAGTCCAGCTACATCACATATGTTCAATGACTTCAGCTTTGTCTTTTTAAACTCAGCAGAGATTGTTTATTCAGTGAATCAGGACAACCTTTATGTAGGATGTATACATTTGTGACCGACTCCCTTTTCTGGTCTCTCACAGCTTCTCTATTGTGAAAAAATAAATACCACACCTTCTGACAGGCAAGTCTTTGTGTTAGAGCTTTGTCTGTCTGGATAGATCAGTGAAAAAAACAGTCTCAGCCTGTGTGTGGCAGGTAATTTGGCCAAGCTGTGAAAATGAAAGCCAGGCGGGGTGTGAGGACCATATAGCAAGGCAAAAAAAGTTTTTTTACCTTCATGATATGTTCGAGATGTCACATCCTCTCACTGTCGGTACAGTGATCCACTGACTAGAAAGAGCAGAAGTTTCTCCGAGATCGGTTTTTAGTCAAGAAAAATATCCTTATTGAAGCTCCACCTGCTTGGCAATAAACACACTGCATTTCCTGCCAAAACAAATTAGCTGAAGTGAAGGAGCAGCTGGATCAGGTTCACCATGCTCAGCAGTAACTTAACAGGTCCGACATGGCTGAACGCGACCAGCAAACTGAACGGCAGGGAAATTCAACTAATAAAAAGTCTGCGTTTCAGATGGAAGCTGCAAAAGTACTAAGAGCTGAAAAATAAAAACATAAAACCTCACAACTCTGTCTGCTCTCGTTCCCCTTTTAGAAATGTTCAGAAGGAGGACCGGGTGCCGATGCTGGAGGCGTACAGAGAGTACAAGAGGATCAAGGCCAAACTCCGCCTGCTGGAGGTCCTCATCAGCAAGCAAGATTCCTCCAAATCCATCTAGACCCCTTCCTCAAATATCCGCTATCCCCGCACACATCAGCTGTCATCACTGCAGCGACGCTACGCCCAGGACGTCTAGCCTGTCATCACGCCTGGAGAGTTTAACAAAGACTGCAGCCAACAGTCAAACACACAACAAATGACCTCCTGTTGGTACCCTGCAGCCACATCATGGGGAAATTAAGTCAGCGCTGACTGCTTTTATTAAAAAGTAAAAAAATAAAAGTGCCACCGAAATCGTAAATACGACATATGGTGTAGCTAAGCTACAAATAGCCTCACAAAAATTAAAATGGTACGGAAACACCCAAAATATTCACAAAGAGAAACACATAACTGACTCTGCCACATATCAAACAGAAGAATATTTTAGGGCGGCTTCAAGTGTCATTTCCTCAAATTAAAAAATGGAATGACAGCTCAAATTTTTTTTAAACTTGTTAGTGATCCAATCTGCCAAATGCCTGCAAGTGTGTGAGGACAAACACTGGAAAAGTAAAGCCGTCATTTAATGTGTGGCCAAACCGAGGTGCTTTGCCAAATATCTGAAACCTAGGTTTTAGTTGAGCATTTTAAAGTTAAATGTGCGTTCTTACAACTTTTTCCCCCTGATGTGAATGCAGCACGGCCGCTGGTCAAACTTAAAGCAACTTCCATCATCCATCCCCGCTGCCTCAGTCTGCATATCATCTGAAAACAAACAGCAGTTTAAATAAAAAAGACAAAGAGAAACTAATCACTGTGTGTATCATCATCATCATCATCATCATCTCACCAATTTGACTCAAGACTCTGCACTCGTCTCTCACCTCCTGGTTTTCTGACCAGGAAGAAAAAGGCAAAAGCATTTTGACTTTTTGATTTCGAGAACATTACTGTTGTCGTCGATCTTTGTGTTTCTGAGGAATCTCATCGGACAGCTCGAGGACTGGCATTTTAGACACTCTTCACTCAACACACTTCGGATTCATCTGGAACGTCTCGCACTGCGCTTCAACCTCTTTCACTTGTCATTTTAATAATAATAGTCTAACATCCTTACATCCTGGATGCCTCACCTTCTGACTGATTTTAAATATTCATCCACAAGATTTCAAAGCCGCTTTGTTTTAACAAGATGATGTAGACCGTACAAGATTTATTCCAACAAAAGTATTAATTCTTTTTGTTATTTTCTTCTACTTTTTGTTTGCATTTCAAAAAACAGTGATGTGGGAGCATCTTGCAAAAAGAAAAGAAGAAAAGCTGCTTTAAGTCTTTCGACAGCTCCCAGGGCCTCATTAAACAGAAGATGCTCACAGGAAACAGCTGTGACTTGGCTCCTTGTGTTTCGTCCGTCTCCTGTTCAGTTTGCCACATTGTAGTTCCTGAGTTATGGGTGATAAATAGGTCTGTGTTGCTTTTCATCTGAGAATCCAAAAGCATGTTGGCAGCGGGCATTAGTAGTCTTGTGACTAATCTGGAGGTTTTAATTGAAATTTGAAGCTGAGCAGATCATTTGTATGTTAGCATGATGTCCTCAATACTGAGAGAGCTGAGGGTGTTTTTAACGAGTGAACGGTCTTTAGGTGTGCCTCTGACCTCCGGTCTGCAGTTTGATTTCCTGCTGGCAGGTCAAAGTAGGGCAGGTGAGGGGAACAAAGTCTGATTTGAGCTCTTCTTTTATTGTTTCCAGTAAGAGTCGAGGCGTCACAGCGTGCTTTAAAGTGTGGGACAAAAGTTTCCGACAGTCACTGAATTTTGGTTTTAAGCTGCGAGCTCGTCAGTCAGCTGTTTGTCGTTTTTCTTCAATCTGCACTTGCATGTTTTAGGCGCACAGGACAAAGCTGACGCACAATTCTCTGCCTGGTTCAGAGGTGGCTGCAGTCTGTCCGTCGGTGGGCATTCAAAGCTATGAATGAGGTGAACCTTTTGTGTTGTGTGAAGATTATTAGGAGTGTGAGAAGTTGGGACAGTTGAAGTTAAAAAGTTTGATGTAAAAAGATGTTATTTGCACAGCATTCACAGAATGCAGCCCTTTTGTGTTTTATAATTTTTTTCCCATTTGTATTTCTAGAAATGAAGCACTACTTCTATACAGAAATTATACTGTACATTTAATAAAATAAAAATAAAAAAGAAATACCCGAAGGAATGAATGTCAAAAGAAATGTTTAAATTATTTCAAACATTAAGTTTGGCCCCCTTTGGTTTATTATTGTTTGTGATGCCCTGAGAATGTGTTTTTTATTATTATTATTAATATTATGAATACTGCTTGTAGTATCATAACCATTATTTTGTGTGGTAACGACAATAATAATCCTTTTGTATGTACTCACTAACTGTAAAACCAGCTGTAGACGTTAGTCTGGCACTGTGGCGAGACGCACATGAACCTGCTCTGTTTTCTGAATTACTTTGTTGCTCTGTGTAATATAAGCTAATATAGAAGCTGTACTGTAGTGAGCTTGCATGGCAAACAAGAACATAATCATATGAAAAAAAAAAAGTCACATTGTTTCCATTATTTGTGCCATGAAGAAGCAGCAATAATATGTTTGTGTTCTCTTTAACACAAAAAAGCATTGTGGGTTTGATCCCGAGTGAACATTTGAGGTACGATGTTTCCGGGGTTGGACAGTGTGTTTTTACCTCTGCGTCACGCCGGCACTGCTGAAATCCAACGTATCAATAAGTCTGTGAAACTAGCAGGGATTGAAAAGCCAATGACAGATGTATCATCTGAAAACATTCCAGTTTTTATCGTCATCAAAAAAGTGAAGAAAAGCGATCCACCGTCAATATCTGAAGGGCTTTTATTTCTGTCGACTTGTTCTTCATTGTGCCTGTAGCAGAGTGGTAAAATTCACAAATGTAAATGTATTCTGTCGGTGTACAGTATGCTTCATCTCACACTTACCCATCTGACGTGCATGGTTGTTTTACACACCAGGAATTCAGAGCAAAACTCCTCTTCAAAGACGTCTCCTAGGTCCTCCTGGAGATACTTTAGAGATTAGACACATTTTTACTAACTGATTATTTAAAGTGATTTAAATCAAAGTTGTCCAGAAGTTAGTTTAAAAGACAGAAATTATGTTTTTCCTTTAACTACAAACAGTCTGAAGTCAAGAAGAAAACCTCAGGACATCCTTGAGATGGGATTTTGCTATAAATTCCTTCAGTCGAGATTTCAGGAGGGATGTGGCATCAGATGCTCCCTCCCATTTCCTCCAGTCGACCTACACGTGAGGCGTTTTAACACATTAATATATCGTATGTATCTGTAACTGTTTTCTTACTTTGTGAATGCTTTTTCAGTTGTTCCTTCATTGACGAAAATGAGAAAATACAATCAGTAACAAACATTTACACATGAAAATAAAATTTACAAGCTTGCCACACCACTTCTCCCGACTGTTTTATTTTTTAAATGAAATATACTGGGACCAGGATGTCCCCTGCAAACTTGCCCTGAATATTAAATAACTTATGTCCATTTTAAACAAACAAATCCTTAAGATGACTCATTTACCACTTTTAGCATTAAAACCCACCCAGGTTACAGACTGGTTTTGTACTAGGTTAAATTAGAATTTAACCAGCTCTTTTTTTACTTACTTTAAGTAATAAGTATTTAATTTGTCTTATTATCACGCAAATATGATTTATAGCGTAAACAGATGCATAGACATAATGTCACTTGTCTCTAATAATTTTTCTTCATCAACATTATGTGTGATGTTCTCCAATTGCAGGCTGTAGTTCCCATAAAAGTAGTTCTATGCTCTATATATCTACAAATAGATAGCGTAGTAGTAAGACCACGCTCCTTTGGAGCAAGAGTTGCAAGTTCGATTCCCACCCGTTCTATTCTATATATAGTAAGGGAATCTTATAACCTTAGACCTATGAAATCTTCAATACCCAACATCCAGTTGATGGCAAAACAACTAATAGCTCTCAGTGTTCGTTTGGAAGAAGGGACTGCTCCCACAGCTAGAGACTGACGAGGTACAAAACAGGGGGAGCCAGGACGCCAGGTCAGGGGGAGAGATCATCACCCCCACCCGAGATTGGGTACCAATTAAACAAAGAATTACATTTGTTGAGCTCAGGCATCAAAGGTACACTTTTATTTCAAAATGTCAGTGATAATATTAGTGTTTTCTCAAAACATCAAATAGATGCGAGTAAACTAGTAATCTGATTACTGATTACTCAAAAATCTGACCAACCCTTTATCACAGAAACCTTTTAACCTGATTAGGTGAACTACAAATTAGTAATCAGTGACCTCTAGTGGAAGCTAGAGAACACATATGCTGCACAAATACACTCTTCCTTCCCTTTTTCCTGCAAACTACAAGTCAGACATACCAGTTAAGATAAGTTATAAACCGCCCTTTGTTTTAATTTTGTTGAGACGTCTCACACAGTCAACCATTATTGTTTTTAAAACATATTTTAAAAGCACAACAAGTTGTCCTCCAAGTTTCACAGCCTATGAGATCCCACAACTCGCATCTATTTGAGAAAACACTAATATTATCACTGACATTTTGAAATAAAAAATGTACCTTTGATGCCTGAGCTCAACAAATGTAATTCGTTGCTTAATTATTTGATTTATACATAACAGGGTTATAACATTAAGTGACATTTAATATAATTTTCAATAATTTTAAGCTTAAATTGTCCTCCAATTGTTAAAAAAAACAAACAAACAAAAAAAACACCGTGATATATACGTTTAACCAGACCTAGAAGACAGGTGTTCCGGGAATCCATCCTACCTGGAAAAACATCCTACCCAATGTTTCTGCGCAGACGCGGCGCATGCGCACAACACCAAATTAACTTATTTTTCTCTCACCCATTCTTTATGGTTATGGTTAGGTTTAGTCGCAAGTCACCGTCAAACTATAATACGGGTAGGACGTTTTGTCAGAGTAGGATGGTTTCTCAGAACACCGCCATTAGCGCTAGCTTAGCAGGTTTGGCTTACAAACTACTAAAACGAGTACTTAACAAGTCTGTTCATTTATTCCAGTATGCAACAATACGGCGCCTCTCTGCATCCCACCTGGTGTGGTCATTTAAAGTTAAAAGCACGGTAGAGAAGGAAACAAGTGACGAAAATTAATTAAACTCACCTCCCGCTAGGCTCTTCTTGCGGCACACACGTTTCCTGATAAATCCTTTTTCTTAATTATATTATTATTAAAATAGTTCAATGGCTAACTGTTTATAGCAACTGCTACATTCGGCACCGTAGCTAATTAGGCTCGTTGCACCTGTCAACAAAACCAAGACCACGCCCACATGGACCCTTTTCTTTTTTCATCCGAACTCATTCAACTGCTTTTAAAACGCACACCTTTAAAAGAAATTAAGGCATTAAGAATGTCTTTTCTCCTTAAAGGTTTGCTTCTTTATAATAGGAAATAATTTCCCTTAAAATAGATCATGGTTTTGTTTTATATGCTGCTTTGTCAAGAGGAAGATGGCCTCATGCAAAGAGCACAAAGAGATGTAATGATGGAGACATAGAGAAGGCCAGAAGGAGCTGCACAGTCTTTGTGGATTAGACAAAAGCATATAATAGGTTGCAAATAGAGGATCTTAGAAAGCCCAGAGTGGCAGAGAATATGAGAGTGTGGTGCAGGAGATTTAAGAAGACAATGAGATAGTGGTGAGCCGTGACAGATGGGTTCAAGGTTGGGGTGGGATCATGGAGTCTCCCTGGCCTATGAGTTTTGTAGATGGCAACTGCAACCTGTTGTGAGAGTGGAGAGCCTGGAGAGGTGGGGGGAGCCAGCAGAAGAAGGTTGAGCGATTTGGAGACAAACTTAGTGATGCAAGGCTGGAATGTTTGGACACGTGCAGAGGAGGGAAAGTGGATATATTGGACTAAGGATGTTAAACATGGAGCTGCCAGGAAGGAGGAAGTTCTCCGAAAAGATTCTGTTAGTGAAGGTGTGCAGAGGGTTGGTGTGACAGACAGGACACCATCAACTGTGGCAATAAATGTTATGTATTTGGGCTGATTAGAAACCACCACTGTGCACTTGCTCACTCAATACCAGCTGCTTACTACTTTTCCATAGAAGGCAAAGTCCACTTCATACAAAACATCCTTAAATTTCCACACAGAGTCAGTTTTAAGCTCCTCTTGCACATTAGCTCAGCTTCGTTTCATGAACACATTGAACAGTTAACAAACTCACAACAGCAGCCGTTTCAGTCACAACATCCACAGTTTATATTAAAAAATATAACATCTGCTGTAAGAACATCATTATAACCTGAAGCTTCGATAAAAATCGCCATAATCATGACCAAATGGGTTTAATTTGCCATCTACATGAAACTGCATATTGTTATCATAGCTTTGTTCTTTTAGAAAAAAAAAAAAATCCCAATGCTTCTGGTAGAGCAATGTGAACGTCCGCTAATAAACACTTAGATTTGCTCGAGACAGATGCAAGTGTGAGTAGGTTTTATTTTTTTAGGTGAAGAAAAGATCTAAGAAAGCAAAAATACTTGGTGATGCGTTCAAGTGCTGATGGGAGGCTCTGAAATCACCTCTTATTGCTGCCAAGTGCATCTCTCTAAAGTTTCACCCATTTTAGTTGAGTGTCTAAAACTCAGCGTGCGATCTGTGCTTTAAGTAGTGCCCTGAAAAATAAGAAGAAATTTACACACATTTCACCCAATCAGCGTTGAGGATCTATAACATAGGAAGTGGTGAATGCTTTCAAACACAGCAGAGGACATGAAGGAATAAAGAGCCTCTAACCTCACTGAGTGACATGGACTCCTAAATGCACCACGTGGCTCGAGCCACTTGCGATACTACACAGTGTAGAGGTTAAAGTCCTGATGCTGAACTCTAGCTCTTCAGATCACTACCCCAAACTGGAATAGTCACAGTGATCCATTCATATATCTCGAGCAAATTCAAGTCACTCCAAGTCTGAAATTTTAATAACCATGTAGTATTTATAGTTCTCTGTGAGACTGCTTTGAAAGGTTAACCATTATGTCATGATTTTAGGGAAATCAAAAACAGAAATTACAAAAGTCGACGTTACATAAAACTTTTTTTTTTTATAAAACTCTCTTCAGATCAAAAGCCATGGCACCAGTCAGTCATCTACATCTAAAAGACACCCACCATCATCCAGATGGGGGCACAAAGTGACATTATGATGCTAAGACTTGGATGCGGATGAATGCTGTGTGATAAAAGTCAACCAAATAATAATAATAATAATAATAATAATAATAATAAT